TTGTCATTTATTAATTTCTTTTGATTACAAACACCTCTTATTTAATAATGTAAATATTTCTTTCAATTATTTTTTTTACTGTTGTTTAAAGAATTGATTGCTGAACTACTTGAAATAATTTTCTTTTACTTAATTATCTTTAATTATTTGATATTTGTATAAAGAAATACATTTAAAGGTGAATTGATCTATAATAATGTATATTTAAAATATAAAAAGAAAACATTTTAAAGTGGTAAATATTAATAAATACAATTTATTACACAAGATATAGGGATATGGGTTTGAAAAACTCAAAGCCTATAATTTCATTTCTGATGATAGCTTTTCTCTAAGCAGCTATGAAGGAGAATTTATTAGTACTTGTCAGATACTTAGAATTGCATATCTGGCAAGTTTGCTTTTATTTATGATCAAATGAATCTACTTTTATCACATAAATTTTCTTTACTAAATTGAAAATATTTTACTTTTATGCTTAACATTGTGGCTTACTAGATCAGTGATTAAACATTTTTTGAAATATCTGAACTCAATAAAACCAATCTAAAATATTAATGATACATTGTTTGTCTTACTAAAAGTTGATTGCAATTAATAATTATATGATAAAAAACATTGAGGCATGTAAAGAAAACTTCTAATTGTTTAATAGTTTTAATTTTATAGAGGATTTATAATTATTTTTTTGTTATTATTTAAAGATTTAATAGATTTTTAACTGCTTGAGATTTTTAAAAAATTTCCTTTTACTGAAGCATGCATGTTTTGTCAGTTTACTTTTTGTCTAGCATTGTTTTTTTCCTGTAATGCTTTCACCAACATTTTAGCCTCTTATCTTTCTGACCCAAATTATTCTCATTTCAGTTTTTCTTGCCTCTTTATTCCAACTGTAAAGTTTAAAACAAAGTTGCATCAATGCTATAACTAAAAACTGATGAGCCTCTCTTAATTACCTTGAATCACTTAAACAAAACTCAAAATTCATTTTCATTTTATTTAGATCTGCATGTTCATTTTGATTGAGATATGTAAACTTTAATATGCATGATTATCAGATGGGAAAGATTTCTGTGTCTCTCCTTAATGCTTCTTAGTTACCTTCTAGAATTTTTCTTTAATCAGAATTGTTATATTCACTATTGTCTTCATTCCTTTTCTCTTTTGTTAATGTTTGACTCCATTGTGCTGTCTGTATTTGTGTGTGTGTGTGTGTGAGTGAAAAATCTACACTACCTTTCCTTTCTCTTAAACGTATACCAATTATGTGACCCTTGACAGTCATTCTACACTCTTTAGATTATTAGCCGCCTTTGTTTATATTTTATTTTTCGTTTTTTTTTTGTGTTATTGTTTTTAATTTCACTGTATGAAATTTATTCTTAATTGTTGATCTTAATACCATCCTTAAACCAACTTTCCTCACATTCAGATGAACATGTCAGAAAAGAAATTTGAACTTCAAAATGTTATTACTGATAGTTTTATGAACAGATTTCTTAACTTCTTGTACAATGTTTCCTTTTTTTTTTTCTTCTTCTTCTTACAATTCGGAAAAATGTCAGTTTTCTATTTTCTGCTATTATTTTTTTTCTAAGAATAAATTGGACTAATCTTCTTAAAACCAAAAAAAAGAAATAGTTGTAAGGGAAATAACTTATTATTCTCCTCATTATTTTTAAACTTTAATTATTTCCCCTTATATAACCGAGCTAACTCGAATTCATTTCAGAAAGTCACACTGCATAAATACTTAAATCTTTCACAGCAAATTATCTTTCAATTATATATAAACTTCCAACTGTAATATAATGCAATAATCATAATTTTAAATGTTTTGTTGAAAATATTTCCAAACTGTTATAAATGTCTTTGAAAGTTTTAGTGTTTCTATCATTGCACGACAACTTTCCGTTTCTGATAGTAACTTATTCCATATGCTAATCTTTCATTTTACTATTTCTGTTATTTTTATTTATGATTTTGTTGCTGTGATTCATTTTTTTGCATGCCCTTAATTCTTGACTGAATACAAAAGACTAGAAAAATCTTCTCCACACTCTTCGTAGTTGAATATGTTTGATAATTCCTGGAATCATCAATCACATGTCGATTTATTTGTCAGGCGAAATCTCGGCTTGTCTCATTGCATCCTTCCCAGTTCAGGTATATATGCAGCAGGCTTATTCTGATCATTTCTTCTAACTTTTTGCTTATTGTTTTTCTTTGCTATTTGCCTGTTTTATTTGTATAATTTACTGTATTTTTACTTATAGGGTTAAAAAGTGCAACTTTGTTAATATCTCCAAGTTCTTCTTTCCCCTTCATGTTACTAACTGATAATGTCACTTGTTTGCACCTGCACTGCTTTGAATTTCATATTGCAGAGTTATTCCACTCAATGTTATTTGTGATTTTGTGTATACTTACCTACAAGTACAAATATGCATGCATATGTATTTCGTAATTTCTCTTTTCTTCCAATTGTTTCCCTCTTCTTTCTTTTTTTTTTTTTTTCTACTCATTTTTCCTAATCTTTCTAAAGTGTTTTCTGTTTTTTGCTTTTCTTTTTACCTCCTTTTTAATTCAGAGTTGTGAAAGAATGCCAGTAACTGACATCCAACCTCTTTTTTAAGAGGCTGTCTATTGTTACTAATATAAATCCCCTCATCTTTGCATGTAGTACTTCTGTTTGTAGTTGCTAATTCTTATTGTTCAACTGGCTGTTAACCAACCTATTTTTAGTATATGGACAGCTAGGTTATCATGGCAAATAAGGCATCTAATAATGCAATCTGTTTTGCTGGATGACTAGCTTGTTCTTTACAAAAAGTCATTTGTGTTGTAGTGTTGGTTTATGTTCAGCATGCTACTGTACCTGTGTGTTTTGACTTGAGTGCTATCACTCAAGTATTCAGTCATTTCAAGTTTCATATGCTCCTTTTGTGTCCATCGTAAGCTTCATTTATTAAAACCAGATTTAACTTGCTGCTATAGTGTAATGTATTTGAAAACGTTACTCTTTGGTTGAAAGATCTCATTACAGATATGATGCTGCTCTGCTTCCATCTTTAATTCTCACTTCTTTGTGCCCAACACTCATTGACAAATTATTCTTTTACTTTACAGCAAAAATGACAGTGTATTTTTCTCTCCTGTTACAACAGAAATATAAATTATATTTCTGTGGTGTTAAAATAATAGATGACAAAATCTTTTATTTCCTATTTAGCATGCACTTTAGAAAAAATTGTTGTTGCTTCAACAATCAACTAAAACTGTTATTTTCAAGATTTTACATCCTGAAAATTTAGCTAATTTAGCTTCTTTCTATTCTTATTACTGCTAAAGATCTGAATCTAACTTTAGTTGAAAACAATACATCCAAGTGAATTTTGATATAATCTGGATTTTAGCAATTAATCATCTAAAAGTAGAATCCTTGTACTCTTAACTATATTCAAAGCACACTTAGTATCAGGTAGAATGTGTCACATTTAACTTGTTTCATTACAATTAAACAATATGGTACTTTATAAATGAAAAAAAAATTAACCTTACATAATTCAGGAAGGACACCATTCCTTGATATTATTTTTATTTTAGGTTGACTCATCAATACATAACCTGAATACTTTGACTGCTCGTATATTTGTGTTGAAAGAAGGGCATTTTATTTAGATATTAAATATCTGAATATCTTCTTTCTGCAATTAACTCATCAATATTAACATCTTGTTTGATTTTACTATAACAGTTTTATTTTGGACGGGGTTCTACTTTTACTTGTAATTCATTCAAAATCTGATCCTTTTTTTTCTTTCATATAAATAATGTTGATATTACCTTAGAGTTCATACTGACATTTTTCCTCTTCAAAAACAAGTTTAATTATTTTTTGTTTAAAATAGAATTTGATTCAAAATTGTTATTGAAAAACTTTTGCATTGTCTTTGTTGACATGTTATAAACAAGCTATACCATGTACTGTATTATGATTTAAATGAATGCATGTTAGACATTACCATAACCTTTTTTTTTTAATATTGCCTAAAACCTTCACTGCTCAGTATTATTTCAGTTTGTGCATGTCCCAGCTTTCAAGTTGGTCTCCAAATAATTCTTTTTACTAATCAGCAAAATTTTTTTTTTTTTTTTTTTTTTTTTATCAAACTCTGCTCCAACCAATTCCACTGAGCAACTCTAATTTGACCTTACAGCTTTTGTCTGTACCCTTAGTTTTTATTCCTATCTGGCTTGATAGCTATTAATCAATTCCCAATTTGCTTTCAAAACACTCTTGCCTTTTATTTCAAAATAAAATTTGGGTTTCTGGACTTTTGCTTAAATTTGCTCACACACTTGAGACATCATTTTTTTTAATTTTTTTTTTTAAATTGTTTACGCAGACAAGTTTTTAAAAATATTTAAAACTCTTTGCAAGATTTTCATTTCCTACTTTCAAAGAGATTGCTCTCTCTTTCCTCTTTGTTGGCACTAATACCCTCTCTTACCATTAGCAAACATTTTTGTTTTTTTCTTTTTTTTTTATTATTCAAGTGGGGTTCTTTCCCAAACAGCTTTGAAAACTAAACATTGCTGCTAATAATCTTAATTTTTACATTAAAAAAATTTATCAAATGAGATAACAACCCTTTTTCTATCTTTCTAACCTTTTGCATGTCTCATGTATTCCCCAGTATCTTTTTTTTTCTTCTTTGTGTGTGTGTGTGTGTGTGTGTGTGTGTACAGGTTCTCACTAACTCTCTAGGTGTGGCACTGTGTGTAAGTACATGCCTGTATGCAACCAGGTAGCTACAGTGGCCATAGCCTTATGTTGTATAGCTTGTCTTCACTTAATTCTTTCTCGATTCTTCCTTCATGCAGGTAAATGTTGGTAGCTTTCCAAAGTGGTATCGGGCACCTAACATTACTAGCAGCGTTGATAAATTTATGAAACAAATAGTCTTAAAGTTTTTTCTTTCTTTTTTGTTCTCTAGGTAAAGCTGGCATTGTTGCAACTAAAAAGTCAGATCCAGTGATCGTTAGCAATGCATTGCTTACAGATTCCCAAGTAAGTTCATAATTTATATGCTTTTCTAGATAAATATCTCTTTTGACTTCGCAATGGTTTTGAAATTTTCCATTGTTGTATAACTCTTTGCTGTAATCATCCAATGACGTATTTGTTGGATTTATACTATTAACAGATGATTTATTATCGTCTGATGTATCAGCTCTAAAGTTGACGACTGATACTAAGCAGATTTAATACTGGCATAAGTATATGTCTTGTTTGCTCCAGATTTGTTGTAGAAGTACATAATTTTATCCTCTGGTAAGCACAAGTCATTTGCATTAGTGCAATTTGAATTCACAGCTTTGATTTTAATCAGCTCCCAGTGAATATATTTTAAATGGCTTAATTCAGGTTAACATATTGATTTCTTTAGAATAGGAACGTTATTGAAAATAATGACATCAAATAACTTTTTTTTTTTTTCTTAATTTTAAGATGAAAAAAGATTTTTTTTTTTTTTTATTGCTGTTTGAATAGTCAGTTACAGATTTACTTTGATGATGACAATGTCCCTTTTTAAAGTTTGAAAGCCCAAATGAGATTAGAGCCTTAAAAATTGCAATTCATTAATGAGATTCACATTTCTGTCACAACTCTAGATCACCAAGTAAAATATGCAGGCCATTTTTGTCAGTTATGGTTCTAGAGTAGATAAGCCGGTAGTTATTTCCTAAATAAATTATTTCGCTCCAAACTTTCGGCCTTATTCCATATCTAAGCTATGCTTAGAAAACCAACATTTCCTAGTAGTGTTAACAGCTTCTGTTTCTTTAAAATATCTTTTACTAAGAACACTATTGTTAATACTTTTTAGTTACATTTGCGATTCTCTTACCTTTCTCTAACTTCAGTGTTTATCTGTCATTTGTCTTCAATAGTTGAATCTGTTGATGATTTTTAATATATTATTTTGGTAATATAGATTTTTCTTTATGGATAATTTATTGAAACTTTTTCTGTCGTGATATTTCTCTCTAGATTGGAATATAAAACTTCATTAAAATGTAGGGTATTATGAAAGAAAATTTTCAAATATTAAATACATTTTATATTTTTCTGTACTTTAAACAACCATTAAAAAATGAACTTTATTCGTACTTGTATCAAGTGTTGCTTCCCTGTATGCTGTGCAGCAATTATTTCAAACCTGGTATAAAACTAAGTTGCACAGAGAATAATTGATTTCAATTCACACAGGAGCAGATATCCATAAAGCCAGGTGAATACAGAACTTCAAATGCAATTTCTTATTTTAGATTTATCCTGAAATATTGCAGTTTATTTTTTTTTTTTTTTTTTTGAATTTATCCTGACTTATTGTGTGCAATCTCTGAAGATCACAGATAAATTGTCCTTTATGAAAATTGTTCCTCAAAATTTTATTCAAACTAATTTTTTCTTCATCGACAAATCACAGTAGGCTAGAAGAAATGGAAAATTAGGAATCAGTATGATATTTACAATTAAGATTGTAAATGTTTTGATTAGCATTTTCTTTTTTCTAGAAAGTTACTAAAGACTATTAATTATTGCTGACATGAGATGAGAAAAAATGAAACTCCTTCAAATTTAGGCATTTAGTAATCAAGAAAGCTTAAGATGAATCTAAGAAGAAAAAAATGCATCAGGACAAATGAGAAAATCAAATCAGATAAGGCTTGATGCTATTAACAAATTTTCCTTTATTAAATGTCAGGAAATTAATTAAATGGCCAATTCTTGAAATCTCTAACTCTTGCCCGGAGTTGAATCAAATTGTTATTGAGTATGTAACTCTAGAATAATTTTTTTTTAAAAAGTGACCTAAGAATTCTCAATCTAGAAAGAATTTGAAAATTAAGTTTGAATTCTGGTTGAAACTTAAGGCCATCCTGGGTATGACGATAAACTATATCCATGTCCTGGGTAAGACGATAAACTCTGTCCAACAGCAAGGCTTCTGATCAGGAGGTTTTGAGGAGCGTGGAACCACCTCTTAATTGCTGGTGTTCCCAGGTCCACCCTGACCCGGGGTGGTAGCATCTGTTAGGGTCCCAGCCATAGGCAAATAGTTAACCCCCAAACTGGGGTCAAAACACTATGAAAGTGTAAAAATAGATTTTAATACCAGAAATACTTTTTGTATTGTCAGCAATACATTTTTGAAGAAAAAAAATATTCCCAAAAATAGATTTGTGAAGGGAAAAAAATATTACCAGCAACAAAAATTTTGTTGGCATTAAATAACCCATAAAAACAAACCAAACCAAACTATGACTATGAATCTATTTCAAAATTTTGTTGGCATTAAATGACGCACTGAGGTTTTGATATGTCTTAAAACAGACCAAACCAAAATGAAGCTTACAGTTCTTTTTGCAGAAATGCTTTTGGTAAAGTTATAAATCCAACTCTTCTATCACTTTGTATTGTTACCAAAGTCATGTCACTGATAGAGCACAATAGTCTACAGGGGAAAGTATATGTAAGGGGTATTTAAGAAATTCAGTCTTTAAATTACTCTATCTAACCATGCTGTGGCAGCAAAAATTTTATCCATTATATCCCTTGTCCTCTTTAATAAAAGGAAAGCCAATATGTATTTCAGTATTTTTATTCCTCGTAAAATTTTATATTGTCCATTTTAAAATATTTCATATTGTTACAATACTAATATAATAAAGCCTCATTTAGCTATTCTGGATTTATTAACTGGCCTGTTTCTTGACTTACATTTTTTTTCAACACAAGAAATATAACTTCCCTGAAATTCTCGTCTTTTGTTGACAGTCTAAATCTGAAAAGAGAGAATTTTTGTTTTCTTTTTTCTATAACATTAAATTGGTTATTTTTCTGGTATTGACACTTCTAGAAAGCCAGGTCTTTTTAAATTGCACTCCTTTAAGAACCAAAAATATTTTATAGTAATGATGATGATGATTATTAAAATATGAGAAAGAAAGAAAATGTTAATAAATTTACAACCTTTTACTACTTTCCATTTCCTATAAAATTCCTTTCTAAGTTTGTACCTATGGAGTTTCATATCTTTAAAGGTTAGTAACAATATAGTATTAGATTTAAAAACTATTTGTATGGTTGAAAATTCTTAGCAAGAAAAGCTGCTTTATATATTTTGGTTTACATGTTTTGTTTTTTTATTTTATTTTTAATAAAAAGTTTCCTTCTATCTTTTCCCTTTGAAAAGACAGTTTTTTTTTTGTTTTGTTTTTTTAGCAAGAAATTATGTTTTGCAGCACTTGATTAACAAATCAATTTTTGCTACTGCATATCATCTTGAAGCAAACACATCCAGTAATTCCAGTCCCAGTCAGTCAATATAGTTCCAGAAATATGTAGATTATTCGTGATATAAAGTCTGAACAATATTCTCTTAATGTGACTTGTCTTTTAAAATAAACTGATTAAAGTAGCAATATTTACCAAACTTGAATCTGCTAAGATAGATTAACAGTGCTTATTGGTTGACTCTAAAGAATAAGTGATTTTAGTTGGTGAAAGGAATTTAATAGCATTATTTGATTAGTTGGTGTATCCGAGTGCCAAATGGGGGTGGGGGCTTTATGATATCACTAAAGCAAGAAAATGTCACTTAGCAATGTGCCCCTTATTATTCCAAATAATGTGCAGCAGGTTGTACTGGGTTATATGGCACCAGTAATACAAAAGAATTCCTGACAGCTTCTTTTTTTTTTTTTTTCTGTCAATTATGTAACAAGTAGTGGAACCTTTACCACAACATCTGACAACAGGCCAGGACAGAGGAAGATGTGGTTCATGCCTTGCAGATAGCATTTCTGTGATGTTGAACACTTGCTGCCTCAATGAGATGTTGGCTTACTGATTTTATCTTATTTAAATAATAAAAAGAAATTGGCTTAAGTTACTGTTGAAACTTGAAACTTCAATTTTCATGCCTTTTTTGAACATGCATTCGAAATTGTGGAGAGTAGGTAAAGACTATTGAATGCACACTAGTGACACTCGAGGGATGTGTCTATTAAAATTAATTTTATTGTCTTAATCTGCTAGAAAAATTGTCTATGCTTTAAAAAACTAGAGATTTGTTTGAAAACTTGTTGATATGTAAATTGATAGTTAAAAAGAAAAGAAAGAACTAACTTAGGTAGAAAGATTAAGATTTTAAAAATTCTGAAAATTATTGGATTTCAGACTTTTTCACTTTTTGAATAAATGTCAGAAATTCTTTTTATAGATATTAATATAGGAATAAAATGAATTTCTCTCTCATCCACCTCCAATTTCTTAATGATTTCCTAAGAAAGTGTTTACCTTTTTAAGAGTTCAGGAAGTGCCATGCAAATGTCTTACTTTGGAAATTTAAAAGGAAAATAAAGTAAAATATTGCTTGATTTTAAGTAGTTTTTATTTTATTGATGAGTTTTTCTTTGTTTTGTTTTTTTTTGCAATATTTTATGTCTATTTTCAAAATTATACTTAGATACCTCCACTAATTCACAATACATAAGGTTTAAAATGAATTTCTAAAAATTAAAATACTTTCTTGAAGCTTACATTTTAGCTTTAATTGAAAGCTAAAGGATGAAATTTTCTAATTCCGCAAAGTAAAATACTGTGGTGTATTTCCAATGGAAATTAGAATGATTTATAGTCAATTCTCTTTTCTTTTTTTTTTCTTTTTTTCTTTGGTTTTTCTGACCAAAAAAAAAAAAAAAATCTAAGTGACCATTTTTAGACATTTGTAAACAAAAGTTAATTCTCAGTTTTAATAATCTTGCAAAACTAAAATATATATTTATAAAATGTTACTTACGGAAAATTATCAAATTTAAAGCAAAATTAATCTGTTTTGAAACAAATATTACTTACTTATACCATAAGATGTTGTATACAAGCATTTCTTAACCACAGGGTTTGTTATTTTCACGTCTCCATCGATATATTGACAACCTAAGGTGATTGACAGGGGACCAGAATTAACATAAATTTAAAAAATTAGCAAAATATTTTAA